AAGAGTGTTATTAGATTCTCTGAAGATCCTCATACACTATAACCTAACTGGTACAGAGAAATTATTGATTCATGTATGGTGCTTGAGTTCGGGGACTATCATTCATGCGTATAGTTGGGAAGCGTATCAGTTACCATCACTGAGTCATTGTTCATAAGAGTTTTTCACCGGCCCTACAACTATAGTCCACACTAATGATATCCATGTAGTGTGTTTACTACTAAATACCTATCTTCGACCTTGCAAATGTTTTAAAGGTAAACTAGTCATATGGAAGAGATCTGAAATCGAACTTACTTTGATTTCAGTATCAATGAACCTGATACAATAAATTTATTATTCATGTAGAAATTGACTGAAAATTTTAAATTTTTGTGTAAACTGTGGTAAGTTGTTCATTTCTATAATCTGATCTCTGATAAACTAATCAAGTCACTCAAAGTCTTTAATATAGTATTGTTTTGTTTTCATCTGCATGTTTTCCTATGATTCAGTTCATTAAACCAATCTATCTAACAAAAATAAGGGGTTATTAAACTGGTAGCTTTGAGAGATTTCAGAATATTTGGAATCCATGTTTTTATGCACTTTTTACATGTAGTTGGTTTCTTATGCAGTTATTTTTAGCAAGTGAAAAGAGTTAGATTTAAAAATAGTTTAAACGAATTCATAAATGAATAGATATAAAAGACATCCGCTTGATAGATATATGTATGTGATTAAACTACTTATCAAGTTTTTAAAAATTTTTAGTACAGAAGTGAGATATTCAGATAATGAGTATGTGGGAGTGTGTAAGGAGCACGATAACATTAATCAAAGCTTAGGCTTATGGATTTTTCATTACCATGAGGAGCACATGGTTCGAGGTACAATTTAAATCATACGTAAGGATATAACGATGATTTCAGTTTGAATCAAAAACCAACTGTATTATTTTTTGTCTTATTTATAACCGATTAATGCCCTATCTTAAAATATCTTACAACTATTACACTATGATATTTTTTTATGCATAATAACTCTCATACTTTTTCATTAGCTTTAATAGTTACGGTTGTTTTATCTTTTTGTTTTTCTTAAGATGTTTGTAAGGCTTTATTTCGCATATTTTTGCTGATAAATGTCTGTGTTTCTTAAAATTCAGAGCTGCTTTTTCATGTACGCGTTGAGTTTCCTTGATGTAAATCCGTGACGGTTTTAGAACAAGCAAAATATACAGCTATTTTTTATAAGACGTATTCTAGGCTCAGTTTAAAGCTTATAGGATCTATTTTACTAACAAGGCAGCTGAGTCATGATGATCACATTCTTGAAAGCTGTTGATCGTTGTTAAAGTTATTACTGTTTCTCTGTTTTGACAATGAACTGGAAAGTCTTTGTTGCTAACAGGTGATAATTTTGAGTTCCAACGGAAACAATAACACAGGTGTAGCTAGCTGGTGGATTTTTAATAAGATTAAAACCTTCAGGAATAGCTAAAATAATTTATGTAATACCAAAAGCAAACAAAACTTGAATTCTGAGAATATTTTCAGATCCATACTTTAAGGTCATGTACCAAACGAGATAGATAATCTCAGTATTGTAGATATTAACAGAAATTTACAGTCTCTGTTAAAAATAAAAGTATTTTAAGATTAGGGAGTATAAACTTCATTCCAAAAATCTTCATTGAATTGTCTTAGCCTTTTAGCATCTTATTAGTTTGCCTATAATGTAGACGATGAAAATGTTCTAAGCGGTGGAGAGCTTTCACTGATTACTTGGTCTCTTCGCTAAATCAATAAGTCAAATTATTCAGGCCACCTGAATTTAAAAATTTATGTATAAGGATTGAGAACTATTAAGTCATCACGAATGGTTTGTCATTTTTTGTAGATATAAATATTTACCAAATTTATTTCCATTGCTTATCAAGAAAATAACTTTGTGTGAGAGTCCGGGCTTTAATTGAAGAGCTTTGTACATTTAAAAGCGTTAATTTAATCATTTGACAGATTGTTTATACCATCAGTTTTACAAACTTTGTCAATCAAACGGCGCCAAACAAAATAACAATAGTGATTTATTACAACTGTTTAATCATTATCTTTGAAATAAGCAGAACTCCTCGATTAATCAGGTTATAGTTCAAACTAATTTCTGAATAATTACGATTACGAACTATATCAATATGTAATATCTTTGCCATGAGCTTGAACAAACCAGTTGATTTCCTTGCACTCACTTCTTGTTGTTTCTGTACGGTTTCAGGTATTTGGTTATGTCTGATAGGTGCCAGTCTAGCCACTCGACTCAGTGTGGTAGCTACTTGAGGATTTGTATATCTTGTGGTTGAGTGAGTGTGTTTGTCTTAGGTCAGTTAGGTTTGTGGATAATAACAGCTGTTGCATTACCAGACAGGCGGTTAGTTTGTTGTAATGTGAAAATAATGAAGTGATAATTCGAGTACTAAGAGGAAATAATTGTTTCAAGAATAAATAATCAATTTATTTCTTAATGTGTAAGAAGACATAATTAAGAGCATAAAAAGAGGAGCGCAGATGGTGATAATAATAGAGATAGGAAGTAGTCATTGATCATGAGGTAATGATAACCGTGGTAATTTATGAGACATGCATCGGATACGGCTGGTACAAGAGGGGGATGGAAATTCATGGGTGAGTACGTGTTTGTCAAATCTCATAAATTTATCTATTGAGGGGACTGAGGTTATTTCGGCTGGGGAGCATATAATATGGGGGAAACTCTTAATCAGAAAAAGTGAAAGCGTACCTGGATGTTCGCTTTTTGATGTGCAGTCTTTCGAGGGTTGTCTGGAAGAGCTTGGTGATGATGTTCTGGTAGTATGCTGGTATTTGAGTACCTTGGCGTACTTAATATGTCATATGTCATTATCAGATCACTTCGGCTCAGTGAGAATAATCCCAGGTGCTGGAGTCTGTCCTCGTGAGATTTATGTTTTAAACCCAACAATTACTTGGTTTTCCGTCTCTTTACTTTGTCTAAGAGATTTATATCACTTTTGGGGAGGAGGTGCAACGACATTGTGAACTAATGAGGTGGGGCTGTGGATACGTTTTAAACAGTGATGAGAACAACTCTATGGTGATTAAGACTAGTTGTGATATCATAAAATAAAGAGTTGAGTTTGCCTTCAATGCATCCTTTGTGTAATTTGAACGGTTGTTTAGGCTCTATGGTTACAACCCCGAAATCATGCTCTTAAGAGACTTTCGGGAGCGGATTTCCATGGAAGGTGTGAGTGCTTTCTGTCAAAGGAGGCAGAATGTTCACGACAGCTTGCATTTAACCCATTGTCTAGTGCCCCTTGCTTCATTGTTGTTAGGTCATTTTGAAGCTCAATCGAATTCTTTTCGCTTTTTATGGATCACCAGATCTATGCGTTGACTGCCTAAATCAGCGCTGCTCAGCTAATTTCATCTAACAGATCGTTACCAAAGCTTAAGAACCAGGATGTACCTAGGACTGTTCTATGTGAGATTTCTGATTTGTCACCTTCAAATTTGTGTGCTATGTGTTAACCTTGATCAGAAACATCCTGTTCTTTAGATAACGTAGAAGCCAGGGTAAGGGTAGGTCAGACAAACTCAACTTTACAACCATTGTTATGAAAAGTGCATGAGATACAGTGTCACACTGTTTCATATGAATTTTCGATAGTACAAGCTGCCAAGGGAATGAAAAGATGCAATGATTAGTCTGGTGAATAAGACCGGGAGCAGAGACTTAGTAACTATCGACCCGCTAGTCTGAACAGTGTGTCAAACTTACGGATGGGTACCCTAAACTGTGTGGGAGGAATTGATCTCTTGGACGAGGAACAACACGGTTCGACGGAAGAACTTTCATGTTTGACAAGTCTCATTACATTAGAAGATTTAACTACAGCGGATGCTAGTAGTGTCACGGTAGATTTAATCTGCACAGATCTAAGTAAAGCATATGATGAGATCTCTCGCGTGGGTCTTAAATTAAAACTGGAAAGTTTCGGGATCAATAATGAAATCATAGACTGGACAAGTGAATTTCAAGTTGACGGGAAACAACGGCTTCAGGTAAACGAGGCTTGATGAAAAGTTGTGGTAAGTGGAGCTCCACCAGACATATTCCATAGTCCTCTTTTTCTAACTTAATGTAAACGACTTACCAATTGATCCGTTCTACTCTCTGGCGATGACATCAAGATTTGGAGACCCATACACTCTGTTGTCCATGGGGTAATACTAGAGGTCGACACGAATTCACTTGGGTAATGGATGTATATGTGGTCATTGGAAGTCAGTTTTGGCAGTAGTGCAGTTGAGTAAATAAATGACTACGACAATTCAGATCATCACACAGTAAATGAACTTGTATCACCCAAACCAATGAACTATAGAAATGTAGCAGTCACAATATAACCAACTGTCTCAGGACTACAAGTAACTGTAAGGTTGGCACTGTCATAGGCTTCAGGGTCACATGGTCTATTCGTGAATCATTTCATTTCTGGAACGAAGAAATGTTTATGGTATTATATCTGACTTTTGTGAGGTGGCGTTTGGAATACGGTATTCAAGCAGTGGGTTCCAGTTTCCGGTGTGAGGCGGATATACATGAATGAGAAAACGATGAGGGAATAAAATAGTGAAAGTACCCACTACCCAAAACCTATTTCAGTTATCTTATCTCATGCTATTAGTTGGTTTAGTGGTGGATTTCTATGAAGTGAACGATGATTTTGGCAATAATATGTCTTATCTTTTGCTTCCATCTAGTACTGATCAGCTGAGAGGACATTCCAAGAAAGCTTAAGAATAGTTTACGTATGAAGTTCCGTCCTTTTAATTGAAAAGTGAATTACCAAAATTATCGAAGAGAATACGTAATATCAGCACTTTCTGTTGATAGATTCAAAGCAAGGTTGGATCTTTGCAGTATTACAAACTACAAGTATTAATGTGAATCGATTGATCTGTCCTCATTATTGAAGACTCAAGACTGTAAGGATACATTAAGGCCCACAACTGAAAGAATCAGTGACAAATATTCTATCGTCATAGAAACTTCATAGATGAAAAACACCATTTATTCCACCTGACTATGAAACGTTAAGTTATTGGGTATTGAACGATTCGTAAAAAAGGTTTGAAACCTGTATCAATTTTCACTCACAATTTTCGTATTTTGTCAGTCCCGCAAGTTATTACTACTGAGTCAGCGGTTTTTTTCCATGTTAGCAATTTATGTAGAAATTCATATTTTTCGTCAAAATTTGCTTTTTCATAACGGCACAGAAATATTTTAGTTCAAGATTTTGTCTTTATTTCTAATAGAGTTTATGCATAGGTACTACACGACGTATCATGTGAAAGGTTCTCCTAGGATCAATGGGTATCTTGTCGATAGAAAGGCCAACATTTTCAGTTGCTACTCAGTTTTCACTCTCAACCGAAAATTTGTTATGCATGGCCTTTCTTAACAAATTTCCGTTCAACTTTCCCATGTTATAAGGAAATTGGGTGCTCATGACCTGCCTTTTTAAAACCCGTTTTGAGCTTCATGAAAGGTGTTGTTTATATTTGTGTATTTCTTCATTTTTCTTTGATCAGTCTTTGCATTACCTTCGGCCATATTGAGAGTAATGCGACTGGTCTGGAACAGGATAGGTTTTTTCGATCTCTCCTTTTGAAGATTGGAGAAAGTGGCCTGCTTTCGTTGTCTTTGGAGTTGGTTTTAATCTAGTGAGTACCTAAACATGTCACATACTAGTGTGCCACTGTCTTCTGCTCACTGTTTCAGGGTTATTAGTCGGATGTTGTTACATCCTGGTGACTTACCTAGGCGCAGAGATTTTAGTCTCTTTTATACTAGCCCGGAAGCTAGTTGGACGTGTCTCAAACCCTCAACTGGCTTTTGAGTTAAGAAGTGTCCTGTGCTTCCAGCTCCGGGTTTAGTTGGTCTACCAAGTTGGGATTGGAGATATCTGCCATCTCCAAGTTAGCAAGATCATCTCCATTTAGCCCTTTAAAAGAGCAGATCGTTTGGTTTGTAGGCTTTCTTCTGGCCATGAAGCTGTAGAGGTATTTGGGTTTAGCTTGCATTTTAGCCGGTAGCTTTGCCTGAACATACCTATCAGTTCAGACTTTAGTGATGCATCTGTTCCCCAATGTCAAGTAAGAGCTGCAACCAAATTCCTTCAGATGAGACCCTTCACCTGCACCAGGCCCTCAGTTTGATTCGTAGAAGGCTACCATGCGTCACTTAACCAAGGACCTTCACTTTCCGGATGTGTGCTTACCCTGAGACAGGTTTTCCTGGATGACATTCTGAATGATATCTTTTACTATCTCCCAGTGGTCATCAACTGTTAGCCACCACCACTCTCGTATCTGGTTTGTTTACTTACGCTTAGTCTTATCATTAGTAAAACTCGAGTAATTCTCACCAGAGCAATTTAAAGTGTTGGATTGAGTCTGATTCAGCTAACAATACATGTCATAGACAACTAGGTCCGCGGTATATAGTCACTATGGTCACTAAACTATACCTTGACTTGATCATGAAACTATTTATTTCACACGTCCCACTATTATGTGCCCCAGATTATATGCGTGAATGATTCCGAGCGTATGGCTTTTTTCATTTTGCTAATAATAACCCCATCAGCTGTAACAGGTTTATTAATCTAAATTCAAAAGCTATGTAAACTCAATTTTCTTAAGGTTGATATTATGTCTAGACCAATGTATCAAGATGCCAGAAATTTACAAATCCCTACAGAATATTCAGAAACAAAGAATATTTGAGTAAACAATTGCTTTCCTATAACTTTATCATCAGATTCTTCAGTTATAGGTCCATAATTTTTGTAATATATTACAAAAGCTAAAATAAGGCATGCATGAATGAATTTGACAGTGTTATATGTTAAAAATGGTGAACTTTTGCGTCTGTTACGACATAAATACTTCAAAATTGTATTATTTGGAAGTTAGGAAAGTCATCGAATGAAGGTCAGAATAATTCGTAGTAAAGTGTCAAGTTACAATCAGTATAATGGTAACGTAATAAATTGTTTGAATAAAACGAATACTAGAACATCTTCGTCGAGGTTCTAATAATGACAATAGTCATGATAATAACAAGGATATATGAATATAATATGAAATAAGAGAGGTGTTGTCAAGGTAATTACGATAAAACGGAATTCATGTGAATTGATAAAGATGAATGTGTAGATTAAGAAAGATATGGACACGAAAGTAATTGTATGGAAGAATAAGTGTTTTATAATATCCAGTCTAGGTATCTGGTGATTCGGTCGTGGGCCAAGGTAAACATAGAGGCTGGATATACCTCTTCTCAATACATAAGTTTGATTTACTGGAGCTGGTCGAAATAGCTTTAGCTGTTTAGAAGAGTCTTAATTGATATAAAACAGAAAGCTTAATCTATTTCAACATGACGTTCATTATCTATCAATCGAGAAGAAATGGCTCAGTTAATTGACTCAGTGACTCCTTTTCCCAACCATGCTGGTACATGTTCACGAGCACGCAAGGGTAAGACCATTCAGGTATGGAAAATGTAACTAGCTATACAGAAGCAGTCGAATTGTTATACATACATAGAGAAGCTCATTATCGGCAACCTACCTTTGATTTGTTGTGCAAGTACTGGTTTGGTTGAGATTACATGTAACTTAGCGGAGTGAAATGTCCTATCAACCGATCTTTTGAGTCGACTTGTTAAAATTCTGCACTCTATATACCCTTTAAAATCGATTTTTAGGTAGTCGTTTTGCTGACCGTGTCAGTAAAAGATAAACTTGATAATCTATTTAATCCAAAATTTGTCTTAAACCAGCTGTTTAATGACGGACTTTTAATAGTTCAAATTCTTAAGAAAGTATTCAAAGCTCTTGTGATAAGTATCTAATTATCGAGATAGAAAAGCTATTCCAAACTATGTACAAATCACGAAAAATTTCTATCGACAAATACATCCGAGAAACTAAATCTTTTTCTTAAACTTTGGTGGTTCTAAGGACGACTTGTTCTTGGTTATATTGCTAAAGGGTATGTGGTGACTATTTACGATAGCTCTTTTAAAAAATCAAATAGTTAATAAACAAATGATTGTTACATTTGCTATCTTTAAAGTCAATGATCAAGGACAAATAAATTAAGTAAGAACTGAATTATAAATGTTTTCGAATATATTTCAGTAGTCTAATTAAATAGCATGTACAGTAGTGGTAAATTCAAAGTATGGTAAGACTGAGTGAACATAACTGGACTGAGATGGTAATAGTATTTAAATAACACCAGAATTAAACTTTTTGAGTCGGATTTATGTTGGCGTTGCCACTGGTACCAGCAGTTGTATGGGAATAGAAATAACACTGACAATAAAATATCCAGCAATTGTATTGCAGTGAGGTGAATCCAAGATTGTATTACACTGGTCTAATCTGCATCGTGTTGAAATGAATACAAACTGTTCAAAGTATCAATTAGTCAGAATGTTTCGAGAATCTACCCATCAACATGATAGATGAATATGATTAACGAATGAATAGATAGACAAGTAAACAAGCAAATAAGTTTTGTGAAAGTACACATGTAAGGCATTCGATTTAATCACACAACTGATCACAAGTTAAGCAATAGAATTGAATTATCGCTCTTGACAGTCATATGTCGTATCCCAAAATGAATATACAACCACATTTATTTATCATGTCTGTATTAAATAACACGACACTTCTGGTTCATAGAAATCCTTCCTATCTCGTGAAAAATCACTGAATTCTATCACGAAGTAAAAATTACACTTCAGAAAATATTTATTTGCTCTTCCATTTTTTGTAGCACAGATTGAAACAGTAAATAGTTGAGCTGGATTATATTTTTGCTATGTTCTATCTTCAACTGTCTTTTTAGTTTTTGTAAAAAATAAGATCTTGAATTGACGAATGTTAGACCACAATTGAGAACCTGGGAACTGTGAACGGCCGTTTCATCCTCGTATGGGAATCTTCAACAGTGTACACCCACGATCCTTTACGAGTGATTCGAAACCAGGACCTACAGTGTTACGCACGAACGCTTGGCCTCTAGACTACTGAGCCGGCATCCAACGGTGTTAATGTTTAACTTTAACCAATCCGCGATATTGCGCGATTGTCGACTGTCCAGCACTTTCAGGTTTTCAGTGGTGTTCTAAAATTTATAAGTTCATGGTCTCGATTAAAGCTTAATGATCTCAAAAGCATATACTGATAATATTTTTAAAATTTTTTTTGCGAAACTAGATCTGTTACAAATAAATCACAACGGTCCTTTTTTTTTGACCACAATGACGACTTTGCATCCGTAATATGCACACATTATAGCTTACATTATGGGAACAAATCAAGTTCAACAAATTTTTCCGGTCCAATTAAAGAAAACATGTATCCCGATAATATCAGGACAGTTATTATCTATACTAATTGGTCTAACTGCAATATGTAACGGTGTACTTTCTAAATATAATATAAATTTACCATTAGCTATAAATTTTCCACATTATTTTCTATTATTTCTTTTCTATGGAGTTCCTTATCTTTGTTTTAATTTATTTAAGAAATTATTTCCTTCTAATAATAATAGTAGCAGTAATAAAAATGCGCCGATTAGTAATACTGTAAATTACAATATCAATAATAGAACTATTACAAATCATAATAGTAATTCTATTATTGGCAATGAAAAAATTATTATTCTACCTAATTCTGAGAAAACTTTTATGCAATCATTATTAGTTCGTTTTAGCTTTTATTCATTAATTGCTATTATTGATGTTCATGCTAATTGGTCCATTGTAACTGCATATGCGTATACAAGTGTAACCAGTATTCAATCATTAGATTGTATCACTATACCAACAGTTGTATTAGCAAGTTATTTTTTCTTATCCTATCGTTATACATGGAATCATTATATTGGAATAATTTCATGTTTAATTGGTGCTACTGGTATGATACTCACAGATTATTTTATACAATCATCAAATCAAAATATTGTTCATTATGGCAATACAAGTGAAATCCATTTGAATCAATTATATAATAGCACTGTAAACAGTCAATTATTTACAGCAAAACAAATAATATTTGGTGATTTCTTAGTTATTATTGGAGCTATTTCATATGGATTATCAAATGTTCTACAACAATATCTTGTTCTAAAATATGGTATTGTAGAATTTCTTAGTTGTGTTGGTTTAACAGCATCGATCATAACATTAATTTATACTATTTCAATTGAAAAACATTCAATCAGCATGATGCTGCTTAATGTTACATCTATAGATCTAATAAAAGTTATTAGTTGCTTCAATGGTTATGCTTTGGCAATGTTTCTATTATATTCTTTAATGCCACTAATTTTAATGCGTTCATCTGCTATCCTAGTAAATTTATCATTACTTACATCCGACGTTTATGCTGTATTGATGGATATTTTTATATTTCATCATAGTTTTCATTATTTATACATTTTATGTTTTCTAATAATTTTACTCGGCGTTGGTGTATTCAATGTAAATGAACCAGTTATTACTGATAAAAAAGATCGCCAATCGAATTGTTTCCACTTGATTTCACAGAAAACTAAATTATAATCAACGAGTTAATGAAAATTTAAATTTTTTAAAATTTTATTGGTTGGTTTAGGAAAAAAGTGATTCTTCTCACCTAATTTATATTTACTTGTTTTTCTATATATATACATGAATGGATGAATGAATTGCTTTGTGTTAGTTAACATATCGATGTGAATTTCTGTGATTGTGTAGAATTATTTAGTTTTTATTAGACATGAATTAATTAAAGTTCATTCATTATCTGATTAAAGTTGTTTTCATCACGTAAAACTCTTAAATTTCTTACTGCAAGTATATGTGCTGTTTCACAATGTATTCATGCACAGATTTTGTAAAACCATTTATTTTTTGTGTTTAATTAATATGTAAGGGTTTAAGCTATTCTGTCGTTTATATTCTTGATTAGATTTTGATCACTCTTAGTTGGCATACATGCATCCTGTGTGAATTGTCTCGATATAGCTATTTCATTAAAATTTTTACAGAAGGAATGGACAAAGCTTTCAGTGTTTGGAGCGAAATGTACCGCGTTCGATTTTTGATGTAAAAACCAACACGGAAATTCACTTAGATTCAGCCGACTTGTCCGAAATAAAACGAAAACCGCTTCATGAATTCCACTGCTAGCTATGATATATCTCTTCTTTAGTACTTAGCTAATATTTAGATTTCAATATTTGAAATACCACCAATGCACAGTGGTTGGATTATATTATAATTATTTGTTTCATTAAGTACAGTTTTTAATCTTTATTATTAACTCGACTACTTACTTAAACAAAACATATTCCAAATATCATTATTGAGTTTCCACATTATCATGTAAGTGATTGTCATTAAAGCTCACAATATGCCTCTGAACCGCGCCATTCAGTTAAGTGACTTGTGAAGAATTATAGAATATAATGTATTCTCATAATGATGTCATGGATAAAATCTTTACCTCAAACGGATGTTGTCTATTATAGCACTAACCTTTGTTATATGGACGCTTTAATTCTAAGGCTTTCAAAATCCCTCTAAAAAGTGTAATCAGACTCTACTTCAAGCACAAATGTACTAGAACTATAACGAATGGTTCTCAGTCAATTAAATATGTATATGACAAAAAATGAGGCCCTACGAAGCAACTGGATTGTTATTTAGATTTTCTTAACGCCGATGAATTCCACTTGTAATAAGCAAGCCCGATGGTTATCTTAAGTGATTTGATGAAGATAAAATTTCATGGCTTATGAAGATGAATTCGTTAGGAAAGGTATCCTTTTCCCCATCAAAATTGTCATCCCAAATGCTTTGCTGTAAATTGTTTGACGTAGAAATTGTTTTAACACAGACGTTAAATAAGTAGTACTGTCGAACATAGCCAGCCATACCCTTCATCTTGACACGTCACTCGTGTTCGGTTATTGTCTTGAATCACTCGACCTAGATCAACTGGGACAACTACTGCTTAAGGTTTTATTATCTCAGGCAAGTCGGTGGGGAAGATGTAGGAACAAAAGTTTCAAATATAAGGTCTGGAGGGAGATTTCATGCTTTAACTTTATTGATAGTACAGTAGGAGCATGGTATTTCCTACAAATAAAAAATGTCTCCAGCAAAGATGGCTTCTCAGGACATAATGGAGACTGGAGAAGTTCAGTCACATTTTCATGTTGAAAAGACCGCCATTACATAGTCAGTCATTTAGTCACAAAGTGGAGCGTGTACGTATATACATCGGTTCAAGTTGCCATACCCATTAGCATAGAGATGAATTATCAGGCCAAATCCGTGAATAGTAGAGGTAGTAACAGTACCGGTGGTAATAAGAAAGGTTAGGCATCGAAGATACAATCCGAAAAAGGTTTAGGGGAATCCAGAATTTGAGAATTCGGTGACGGACGAAGAATGGATGCACTTGCGCCATTCAAACGGTTTTGATCCATGTCATTCAAAGTCTCTAACCACTGGTCACGATAATCACGTGGGCTCCAACCAGGTATTCTATATCTGTTAACAAGACTAAATCCAATTGTCAGTGACTTCATAGGATGATGTCATGTTTTGGTTTGGACGTCCCTGGCTTTTTTCTAGCCTACTCCTGTGCAAGAAAACCACCCGTCGAGATATGGGATGGCTGAGAATACGTAATACATGTCCCAACCACTTTTTTCTTCACCAATAGGTCAAATTCTATTCTGAAAATAGGTAAAAATTAAACTAATAAGTGCTTTAGAACATACATTGGTACTGATAAGTTTCGCTATGCCACTATTTCTGATAGGGATATTATTCATCAAAGATATAAGAAGTGTTGATGACCTGATTTGGAGAATGAACTCGCGAAGTCAACATCTGAGACAGATGAACTACATACAACCTAGAGAGTATATGGTAACAAAGAAACCGCCTGTGCCGAACTAAGTTTGGATTTTCTTATCGATTAGTTTGGTGAGAACTAGTTAATTCAAGAAATCAAAAGCAGTAAAGAGACTCTAAGAAAATTGTCAAGAAAACGTTCCTCACCTCAACGCATTCAGCTGAACCCCGAAATGAGGACCTGTTTTTAGAGAAGGGGAGATGTGTTGGAGTATTCAGAAAAATACCCCAGAAATTATCTAATGCTATTCCTGAATCAGAAATGGTGTCATTTCCCCACTTGTCAATATTCTTCCAACGTGTCATTTTCCCGTTGGTCAATATTTATTTGTGTCATTTCTTGGAGGTTAAATCTTGTACAAATGTTATTTTCTATTTTATGGTACGATGTAGTCTGTTTGATTGCTATATAAACAGAGTATGTTTGAAATATAATGATTCATATCACCGAAGCTGAGACTTGTGTTCTGGACTCAACTGGCTGGGCTAGACAGGGAAGCACGACCAGTCAGAACTCTAGGCTGTTCTTACGTTTTTATGCGTCCTTGGTCCGATCAATAATTCTCTGCCCTCACCGTCCTCTTCTTGGCGGCCTCCAGTTATAACAAGATGTTAGGCTGGGTAAAACCAAACATGTCATATGTATGCGCTCATATACTGTCTAGAGGTTAAGCTCTAAGTGAAAGATGACAAACGAGGCACGCTGTTGGATGAAGCTGATTTTACACTGTCAGGTCTTAGCTTATATATCTGGGTGACGGACATATATATACCATTGGTTAATGTACGGATTCCTGTTTGTTCTTAGCCTTTTCACCAGTTTAGTAGATTAAAGCAGAGTATAGGAAGCGTTTATATATGTATTTGAATCTAAAGTTAATACGACGTAACTAAAATTAAGCAGCATTAGACAATCTTTTCGTACGTATTTTCCTTGTCATCTTTTTCTTACCATATAACTATTCTGATTTTTGTATTTATAAAGCGCAATTATGTTTCAGTTTATTGCCACCTTGGTAACAAAAAGTCGAACATGTTTTAGTATAGTTGTAATTCAGCAGTGAAGTCCAGAACCCGTCGTTCGTTTTATTTTCAACGTGCAATACATCAACTAGTGCTGATATTGGCGTTAGGATATTAACCTAATACCCAATATCATGAACACTGAAGCTTTATACTTTTCATGACTTGGTCACGATAGCCGTGAAGTTGTTTAATGTGTGTGCAACTTATTATGAATTTAGTCGTCTATTGGGTTCAATTCTAAGTAGGAACATTAGGGTTTCAATGCTGATGTATCAAGCTAACGAGTTTAAAACGGCATGAAAAGCATGCTTTGCGTCTAACTGTAAACCTTCCTATCAAAATATAGTGATTTTGCAAGAAGAATTATTATCGATCCATTCGTTAAGAAAGTCCTAAAAATGATTATACTTAGTCAGTTAATGTCGGAAAAAACATAACGCAAAACAGTAACATGCTTCCAACAACCCAAATTACAGTAGAATTAATGAGCTACAAAAAATCTCCGTAATTTAATGGCGAGAAGAAAATGTATGTTGTTGATGCAACTCGACAGAAAATTATGATTAAAAACTACTTAATTTGGTTTAAGTAGTAAGATTCATTTAAATGCCACCTTATCCATAAATTCAATACGAGTTTTACAAATCTATGGGGAACAGTAGTTTCCAAACTAATACTAGTAATAGCCATAATAATAATAACAATAGTAATAATGCTATTATTAACATTATGAATATCATGCCTTGTTGTTTACTTACTTTTACTAGGCCATTGAAATCGGAAACAATTTTTTTAGAACTGTTCATATGTTAATAATTCTAAATGATCTGATCTTCAACGCTATCGACTCCCAACTAAATCTAACGACATGAAACTTTTTCTTTCAATTCATTATTCTCAGCAAGTAAATGTGAATTAGTTCTCATAAAAATAAAACCATAAATTTACGGATATTTTTAACAAGTTTATTAGTCACAATCTGCTTTCATTTTTTTGGATTAATAGAGTATTATTATTTCCAATAGTTGAAATCATGAGTCAATTGAAGCTAGACCAGTATGGATGCCAGCTCAGTAGTCTAATGGTTAAGCGCTCGCGTGTGAGACCGATAGGTCCTGGGTTCGAATCTCGCGGGGTGCGGTGTCGTGGATGCGTACTGTTGAGGAGTCCCATACCAGGACGAAATGGCCGTTCAGTGCTTCCAGGTTTTCCATGGTGGTTTAGCTTTAATTGACTCATGATTTCAACTATTGAAATTACTAAAATCTCCACAAAACCCCTTCTGATATTAATATTTTCCCACGCTACATATGTTTGTATTATATTAAAATTTGGCATTTAAATTTATTTCATTTACACTTATTGAAAGATTAGTCATCTTTATGTAGTGCAAATATTTAATCAATCACTTAACCCTTTATTCTAGTAATTCTGACATTTTTCTGTTTTCAATCGGTCAGATAAATGTAAGCTGTCACAGTGAGAATAATTTACATTAGAACAGTCTATTTTGTATATTCTCCAAGTTCATATTCGTATTAAGGTGAACGAAATTCACTCAAAATGGTTTCAGTTTATTGATAATCAACTAATCTTTGATTACTGTCATTATTATTACATTTATTTCTGAAGATCATAACAATCTCAGCTAATCAATGGATTGTCTTCATATTTAAATAGATATGTATTCAGTCTATAAAGCTTCTGAAAAAAAAAACACATTCCGTTCAGAAAATCAATATATTCTTCCATAAGGTCACTAAAGCAATAATTGTTCAGTTTTAATGATGTACACCAAGATGAAGATTGTGTGATTTGAAAAATTAAACTAAATTGTTTTTGCTTACTGTTCATAATTTTTATTCAGCTGAGAGAAAAACAATTTCGAAGTGAATAATGTAAGATAACGAAATGATAAAAAAGATTTATTTACACGTCAGTTAAATGGTTTTAGTGCTGTTTTCTTTCTCAATGTAAGATTATTTCGCAATAAAACAGGCTACAATATATTCTTTCAATTTGTTGAACAAGTATCAGAATATTGGTAAGCGTTAGCTTTTGTCTGTTGTTGATACCAGGACTACACTTGAGCATCCTAAAAGATTATCAATGTGAATATTAACATTAGGATGAAGGCATATACCGGTGACTAGTCCTTAATAAGACAACACAGGCGTCCTGAATCCCATTATTAGGCACATATTAAATATCAGAATGGGTTTTGTGGAGATTTTAGTAATTTCAATAGT